AACGGAAGGCATCTCGGGGACGGGGGACGCCGCGGCGCTTTCGCTGGCACTCGCAACAACCTCCTCGCTGCGAGGCCTCACCATATGGGGCGCCGACGACCTTGTCCGTGCGCTTCTTGTCTTGAATCGGCCACTGCATCACTTTACCGAGATACAAGTGGAGACGTCGAGTGTCAAAGTCCTTGGCTTCTTCTTGACGCGTCTGGATTTTACCAAGTTGACATCCCTCAAGTTGGATTGCAACACGGATCACGCAGACACTCTACGTCTCGTGCGACACATGCCATTGCTCCGCCACCTCGCACTGACCCACGGCAGTGTCGGCTTTGCATTTGTGGACGCGTCGACGTGGCCGGACCTCGAGAGCATCGCCTTCGAACGCGTCACCTTGACTGCAACCGCCCAGATCGCGCTCCAGGCGTATTTCGACCGTGTACAAAACCTCCGAGAGGTGTCGTTCGCAGGCCCCGAGTGCATGGCGGCCACGTCGTTCTTTGATTGGAGTTACGCACTGACTCAATTGATCGCAAATGGACTGACGGTGGCGAAGCTCGTGGATACCGACCTCGACGACACGTGCGCTGCGCGAAGGATGCAATGCGTCGTCGCCGCTTCATCTGGACCTCACCGCGAACGACATTGGCATCAAGGGCGTCGGCGCGCTTTTGAAAGCCCTTGCAACGTGCCTCTACGTGCGAATCGAGATTGCATGCACGAACTTCGACCTTCTCGCACCGTACAAGACTGAGATTGAAGCGTTTGCCGCCTTCCATGGCGTGGCGGCGACAGTCACGCATGAGCACTACACACTGTGCAGCCCTTCCACACATTTCCAGTACTATTATGCAATGTAGCGATATGGCTCAATGGTTTGCTTCTTGAGCTCCGATTGATTTCGATCCATCCAAACAAAGGACAGGTTCCTAAACTGGGTTTCAACACCAACAGCAACAAAACTAATAAGACGACTTGTGGTCTGGATGCAGATTCCAAAGGAGCGAAATGGCCCGTAATAGCCCTTTCCCTTCACCGGCTCGGGTTAAATTAGACGACGACCCTTGATGCGTATCGCGTCTGCTCAATTTTCCACCGTCTTGGGCCTCGCTCATTTTTTCTGCCGGGCTCCACTTATCTTTATACTAGTATATTTTCCTTGTCCAACCTGTCCAACAAACGTACTACGAGATATCCATACACTGCATGTGCATAACATCGTGCTCGATCGATGGTTACATAATTGATGTAGGACTATAGAACGTGAAATAATCCGGGTCAACGCCGCATGCCATGCGATGCGTAGCGACAAAGGCTTGGAGTTCATCCATGTGCTGTTGGTCCGCCGCATACAGCATCACGCGCACATCGGTGCACTGTGCGAGTGCTTGGAGAAGCACTCGAACGCCATCGATAGTCACCTTGCAGTTGTGCGAGAGGTCCAGCGTCAAGGGCGTCGTATTGCGACCTTCACGCAGCGTCTGCGCAAGATGGCCGAGGCTCGTGTCGTCCAGACCCGCTTCGCTGAAGATCGCATGGGCAAGTCCGTTGTTGATCAATCGCACCAGCGTCCGACTCGTACTGGTAAACCACCCGTCCGCCAGTTTGCACTGTTGAAACGCCATTTTGCGGAGGCCTTGCGCGCGGCCGAGGTAGGAGAGCACTGTAGCAAATGCCGTCGGTGTGAAGTTGATCGCTTTGAAGCGCATGCTCTCGAGGTCCGGCCACGTCGACGCCTCGGCAAAGCCATCGCCGATGTGGCCTCCAGTCGACGCCAAATGGCGAAGTGCAGGCATGCGTCCAAGCGGAAAGAAGTCAGCGTGGTCGTCCGCGCTGCTGATCGCAAGCGACGTGAGTGAGGTGAGGTCGAGAAGGGCCAAGAACGGAGCCACGGCCGCTGGCGTATATGTCCGCAGCTCGACGTGCGTGAGCTGGTGCAGCGGCAACTCGAGTTCGAGGAAGGCGTCGAGCAACTCTTGGTGGTCGTGGATACCGAGAGACCGAACCGAGGACGTGGTCGCGAGCGCGCGCGCGAGACCCTCCTCGTCCTCGACTACGGTGCACTCGATCGTAAGGCTGCGAGCGTGGCCACTGCCGAGCCATGGCAGCACGTGCGAGGCCAAGTCGGCGGCGGCAGAGCTCGCTTCGCTAATGCATATGGTGTGGACATGGTGGTTGGGCGTCGTAATCGCGGCAAAGACGTCCGTGTCGTCTTCGTCGTCGACCAAATCGGTCGACTGGAGGCGCGTGCAGCGCCGCAGCAAGTCGCAAAAGACGTCGCGACCGACTTGGTACCGCCACTCTGACGTCACGTGCGTCAACTTGAGCGGCCACTGCGACGCAAAATCGATAAAGGCTTGAGTGCTGTCGGCCGCGAACAGGCGCCCAAAATGCCAGACTTCGGTGGCGTGCACCGAGACGAACACGGGCAGCGCCGCCCGGTACAACGCAATATCGTTGTCTGCACTCAAGGTGGCGCCGTCGAGATTGAGCGATGGCCACGTATACGCCAGCGGGCCCGGTCGCGTCAGGAGCTCCTTGGTGGCTGCTAGTGGCGCGTTCAGCGAGGCAGGTGGCAGCGCTAAGAGAAAGGCGCTGGCGTCAAGATGCGACTGGAGGCACTGGGCGATCAAGGTGAGGGCGTGCGGCAGGCTCAGCACGGTCGCGGCCTCGGGAGACGTGCGCTTGGTTGTCGTCATCGTCGAAGCTTCTAGCTCGCCCATTAGTCTATTTTTGATCTGTAGCAAATTGATCCATTTGACGATCGCGATCAAAAATGGCGATCGTCCATGTGGCTACCGTCTGAGTTCTGGCCAATCAGATCGAGTAGCGCTACTAATACTAATAAGCGACGCAAATGCATTTTATTGGTCGAAATGCGACAGCTGTGGAAGCTCCCGGTGGCTGGCTTCCGGTGTTTCATTGGTCTAAATGCCCAACTTTTTCAACCAGTCGCATTGCGTTTCATAACCGAGCATGGCAACCAAGCGCGCCTGTCCCGAGGCCGCGACCGTGCTGAGCCTCCCGCATGTCCTGACCTCGATCGTCCAGTGCCTCCAGTCGCCGCGCGATGCTCTCGTCTTTTTGTCGGCGCTGCCATTGACGTCGCTGGACGCGCCACTGGCAGCCACCAAGGAGCTCCTGACGCGACCTGGTCGGTTCGTCCACACGTGGCCTCACCTTAGCCTCGACGAACTCGATAGCGAGAAAGCAGCGCTTGCCCTTGCGGCGCTGCCGGCTCTAGTCTCGTTGTGTAAGCCTGCCGCTGAGCGCGTGGATTGGTCGCCATCGACAACCGTCGCAACAATGAGCTTCGTCGACTTTATCTCGTCGTGGCCGCTCAAGATGACGTACTTTGAGTCGATGTGGTTTGACGACTTTGACACCGACGTCGTTTGCAGCTTGTTGCGTCGCTGCACGCGCCTACAAGCCGTCCGTATATCTCGGGACGAAGATATCGTCGACCTGCTCGCCGCCGTGACGACGCCAGCCCATCGAGTGGAGAAGCTGTCTCTCTTTTACACCGACGAAGCTACCATGGACTGGACGTCGCTGCTGCGGCCATGGCTGTCGAGTGGCCACGCGCGACATCTCTCGTTCGAAACCGCCCGGGCCACCGATGTGGTGGGACTAGCCCGTGCACTCGCAACCACGTCGTCGCTGACAAGCTTGGACATCTGCAACAACGACGATTTGGTCCAAGCATTTTTGACGCTGCAGTTGCCCTTGCACCAGCTCATGAAGGTGCACCTCGTGGAAGTCGAGCCCGAGCGCGCCCGTCGCTTCTTGCGACTTTGTGATGTGGCCAAGCTCACGTCACTAGAGATCGTGGGTGAAGGCGACCATGAAGACACCCTCGCGCTCGTACCACGCATGCCAGCGCTTCGCCACCTCTCGTTGCGTTGGGGTGAACTCCGGTTGACTCATAACGCTACGTCGCGATGGCCGCACCTCGAGAGCCTCGAGCTCTGTGCAGTTCACTTTGACGACAAGGCATTTGATACCGTGCTCGCGTACCTAGAGCGCGTGCAAGGCCTCCAGAAGATCATGTTCAACGTCTGCCATTCGCTTGAAACCCGTTTCCTCGACCTCAGTCGCACGCTCGTTCGCTTGATCAACAACGGCCTCACGCGCGCATGCCTTTCTGGGGCGAACCTTGACGACACCAGCGCCGCGCTCCTCGCGCTGACGCTGCGCCAATGTCGCAACGTGTCGCCCGTCACGTTTGACCTCGGCGACAATGACTTTTCGATGGACGGCGTTCGCGTGCTGCTCGAAGCCCTCGCTACGTGTACGTGCGTATGCGTCCGCCTTACGCTGCCAATGACATTCCACGGAGAAGAAGATCGCCAAGAAGACGAAGTTCGACGATTTCTTGCAACCCATAAGATGACGTGCGACGTCGATGAAATGACGTGGGACGACGATGACGACGCGCTTTGGACGCTCTATAGTCCTAGTACGCATGGGACATGAATGATAACGCACTCTATCGACGTTGTTCTCTTGGGAATCGCTTTAAATCGCGCGTGCGACTGCCGACATGCAAACGCGATCGCGGCTACGTAGGGGTAGGGTCTACACGAAAACCATATTGACCCAGAACTCAATTCGCACCACGACGCTATCCAACTGCTTCCATGACGAGCCATTCGGATTCGACATCGTTCTTCTTCTTCTTTGTGCAGTGCATACAGTTCCTCTAGTGTAGTAGACAGTTTGTACGTGCCCTACAATGTTCGGAGCAGCAACGACTCAAGGTTGCACCTGGATCTTTTTCCATGTTCCACCTGAATCTTATATAACGATCAGCTGCACTCTGAGCTGCACTCGGTTTCGCACGCATACAGTACATATGTAGTACACAGCGGACATGTCTTCACAAGCCGCAGACGCCTGCAAATATCCAGCGGTGTTGCCTCCTGACCACCCTCGTTGTTGCTCTTGCACGTAACTAGATTGAGATATTTGCCTTGAGTCGTTCGCGCCAGCTACCTTACAGCCGCGACAACACGCAACGAGGCAGACGTAGGACGACCGGATGAGCACCTCGCACAAGAGGCTGCTGATGCAGCGGATACAATTCGTGTCCAAGAGACCTGCAGAAGAGCAGCGGGAGGTCGCAATACCGTGCAGTGTGTGTGGGAAGACGAAGTACTCCAAATGCGTTTCTCGACGATGGCTTGTGTACAAACTTCTCACTGTTGAAGAGCACTTGGCTCGAAGTAATGCGTAAATCTTGGCCGGTGGAGTCTTTTATTTGAATAAAACTTCAATGCCAGATGAAATCCGCGCGTTAGAGCACCAAATTATACATGCGTCGTAAATACAAAAGTGTACATTATGGTCGAGAAAATCTCAAGCGGATACGATGGGATGGCCGGTGGGATTTTGTTTTTTCTTCAATTGTTGCGTCGAGTGGACCGGGATGTTGCATGGCCTTGGAGAGGCTGTCGGCCACGATGCGCGAGAGGTTGGTTGCTTGGTTTACGGTCGGCGCCGCCTCCGTGGCTGCGAAAATCTTGGCCACGACGGGTACGTACTTGGCGACTTCGAGGCGCGCAAGGACTGCTTGTCAAAACGACCATCACTCGCAGTTCAATTTGCTGCACGCAAGATCCATCAATGAAGGTTAGCCCAGGAGCCCAAGGCAGGGAGAGCGCTCCAATTAGAATGCTGGTGCAGTGTAGGACCATCTTATCATAAGTACGAGATCGAAAGGTCCTCTCACGCGGGACCTCGGCACTGATGCGCGTCGACGAAGAGTCACATCTCAGCCAGATCCATCCATCTACACGTAGTACTGCTGCTTGTATCCAATGCGAGGAGATATCCAACCACATGGGATGCGTGCAGCTGAAGCCTACTTCATGCCCCAAGCACAGTGGCGGTTTATCGTTGGAGCTCTACCCGCCGCCGCGAACCAACTAACTCTATAGTGTCGATGTTTGCTAGAGTCGACCTGCTCACTGCTGCTGTACATGGTGCAAGGATCATAACAAAAAGAAAGGGGTCCTTGAAGGAAAGGGGAATACTACATGACGAGGTGCAGCGGGCCGCGATGGAGGGCGACGTCGTCTAGGATCGCTTCGAGCTGCTTATTAAGCTTCTCGATACTGTCGGGCTAGCTGGGCTTGAGTGTTGTGAGGATGAGGCGCTTTGGCACGACGTGGTGGCTAACTTGAGCGAGGCTCCAATGCCACGTATGGTCGTGGCCCACGGCAAGCACCGAGATGGGCTGGCCGATGGCGTCATGGCTCACTGTGCGCGCGTAGATCGCCTCGAGAACCTGCGCGTAGCACGTTGGCGACAGCGTTGATGATGCGCACAGGACCGATATGATGCACCTTTCGCTCGAAGGAATCTTCCAGGCCAAGCAGCGAAGCACGTTCGAGTCTTTACACCAGTAAAATACATCATACGTACTATTCATACTTGAACAATCGCGATGAGCACAAATTAGCTTAATTTCTTTAATTGCGTGAAATGACGAAATTTTCAGGCCCGGGCATTGCTCACGTCTCCTCCGGCGTCGCCCACGTCTGCTCCGGCGTCGCCCACGTCTGCTCCGGCGTCGCCCACGTCTGCTCCGACGTCTCCCACGTCTACTTTAGCTTTGGCAAAGCCGAAGCAGACGTGGGTGACGCCGGAGGAGACGTGGGCGAGGCCGAAGCAGACGTGGACGAGACCAAAGCAGACGAACGAAGGCTCCATGTCGCCAGGGTTGGACGCGGTTTGAATCGATCGTGCCAGCGTGAGGACTTCTTCGGCTCCGACGCAGCGCGATGCACTTTCTTGCGCTTGTACTGCGAGTCTTGAGGCTAGTCGCGCATGTTCATACTCGTGCGCAAGCTGGGTGGTCTGCCGATCGCCGTTGGTGTCAAAAATGCGCAATCTGGTCAAAAGGCCCTCGAGCGCTTCCTGCACCCAATCTTGAGCAACGCTAAGTGCGCCGGCGCTCCCATCGCGTCATAAACGTACGTGATGTCGTTAGGTCCGGTTCGGAAGCCCCACTCGGTTGCGACCGCGTCGCGGTGCAGCCATACCCATCGGGGCACGAGACTTTATCAAGGCTGCGCTTTTCGTCTTGGGCTCCTTGCGCTGCGTGGCGCTCGCGGGCTTGCCAACCTTCGAGCTGCCTCGCGGACGTCGTCGTGGCCTTCGTCATGGTGCTCGCGCTGTCTTTTCCGTTGTGGTGGTCGGGATGAATTGTCACTTTGTCCTCTCTGTCTGTCCCATCTCCGAGTCCGCCGCTATGGCGTGCAATACTGATTGGTAGAGACTCAAAAGATACTTTCTTCGCGGCGTGTCGCTAAAGCTCTTTCCCATTGGTCAAAATTGCCTCCACCAACCGAAGATTGTCCTACTATATTCTTGAACCATCTTGGCGCCATGTCGCTCGCGCTTTGTGGCGTTGCGGCCGGGTTGTCTGTGTGCACCACCATCTTCGAAAAGCATGCACGCAACATGGGCGAGCGAGACACCTGGAGATGAGGCTGCGCGGCTCTAAAAGCAGTGCCAGGGCAAGGCCGCCGCACACGCCACTCAGAAGGCGGAGCGGCTCGCGAGAACATTCTCTGTCCGTTTACAACGGTGCTGTCTCCGCGTCCCACTTGATGTGCGTCCCTCGCCATCCGCTTGGCCACGTGTCCAACGGTCTGCCTGCGCTTCTTGATCGTATAGTCCTCGCGCCGTTGCAGCTACACTCGCCAACACAACTGAAATCAACCAATGCCGCCACAGCAAGTCGTGGGAAGGGGACCGATCGAGAATTTTGCGAATTCAACTACCTCGTTCTCGCCGTCAACGGCCACTTGCTGCCCTGCAACTCACAACCTTCGCCGCTATTGTCTTTGGCACGCTGTACCTTTTGTACCTCAACGCGCAGGCCAGCAGTGCTCTGTACCTTCCACGCCCGACGACCGTCGGTGTCCCCGCCCGCCACCGCTGGAACGTCTCGTGTTCCAACCACGTACGCTACCTGCGGCGCCTTTCTCGGTGGCTCATGGACGACCGTTTTTGTAGTACTGGCCTTTTGTACGCAGCTGCCACAAGCGTACCAAATGTGGCTGCGCTGGGCGCGACGCGTTCATCTCGGACGCCGACGTCACGGGGCATTGCCGACCATGGCATGGCCGGCCGCTCGATGCTCGGTGGACCTACGATCATGGACATCAACACGGGTGCGAGCAAATACGCAGACGATCGTCGCGAGCTAGGGCGTAGACTTCGTCAAGGAACGGCTTGACCAACTTGTACGGGGCAGATCCGCCCACGCGCTTTAGCCGCGACCTCTACAAACGGATACTAGCAAACAACTGCATCGCAAGATATCTCAGCACTTGTTTTACCACGATCGAGTCCATTCGTCAAGCGCTCATGGAGGAGTATCAACTTTCGACGTTGTATTTCACGGCGCCGACGTTCATTACGCGCATCATCGGCAACGCCTCGCGGACCGCCGCCGAAATCCACGACGAGGATTGGTAGGACCAATTTTTCTTCGCTTCCCATGCGAGCAGCAATCGAGTACGGTCGAGGTAGGCGCCCGCACGTTGATAAAAACAATAAATACGTGGCACTACGACGACTACTACTACTACTCGGGGCTGGTCGACCTCTCCGACTACGGCATTGATTTCACCGGCGGCCGCTTTGCATTCATCGACGACGACAAGAAGAACCACATGTTTAAACCGGCGCGAGATAAACGACTGCGTGCTACTAGTACATAGTGGCGCTGGTCAATATGATCGATGTAGGTCGCCTCATGATGTTGCATTCGGGCATGGAGAATGTGCACGAAGTGCGACCTATCAAGACGGGCGCGCGCTATGTCATGAGCAAGTGCGACGAGCACAAGCAGTTAGGTGAGGACATGCGGAAGGCTCAGCACGGTCGCGGCCTCGGGAGACGGGCGCTTGGTCGTCGTCATCGTCGAAGCTTCTAGCTCGCCCTTAGATCGACTTTTGAACTGCAGCAAAATGCGCAGCAATCCATTTCACGATCGCGATCCAAAATGGCGATCGTGTTCTGGCCAATCAGATCGAGTAGCGCTACAAATCAGCGGTCGAAAGGCGAGAGCTGTGCAAGCTCCGGTGGCTTACACGGCACTGGTATTCCGGTGTTTCATTGGTCTAAACTCTCAACATTTTCAACCAGTCGCATTGCGTTTCATAACCAGCCATGGCAACCAAGCGCGCCTGTCCCGAGGCCGCGACCGTGCTGAGCCTTCCGCACATCCTGACCTCGATCGCCCAGTGCCTCCAGTCGCCGCGCGATGCTCTCGCCTTTCTGTCAGCGCTGCCATTGACGTCGCTGGACACTGCACTGGCGGCGACCAAGAAGCTACTGACGCGACCTGGTCGGTTCGTCCACACGTGGCCTCACCTTAGCCTCGACGACATCAATGACGAGAACGCGGCGCTTGCCCTTGCGGCGCTGCCGGCTCTAGTCTCGTTGTGTAAGCCTGCCGCTGAGCGCGTGGATTGGTCGCCGCCGACAACCGTCGCAACAATGAGCTTCGTCGACTTTGTCTCGTCGTGGCCGCTCAAGATGACGCACTTTGAGTCGATGTGGTTTGACGACATTGATACCGACGTCGCTTGCAGCTTGCTGCGTCGCTGCACGCGGCTACGAGCCGTTGGCATAACTCGGGAGGAAAATGTGGTCGACCTGCTTGCCGCCGTGTTGACGCCAGCCCATCGAGTGGAGAAGCTGTCTCTCTTTTCCAACACCGAAGCTACCATGGACTGGACGTCGCTGCTGCGGCCATGGCTGTCGGGTGGGCACGCGCGACATCTCTCGTTCGAAGCCACCCAAACAACCGATCTAGCGGGGCTGGCGCAGGCACTCGCAACCACGGCGTCGCTGACGGGCTTGGACGTCAACAACGACAATCTCATCCGTGCCTTTTTGGCGCTGCAGTTGTCCTTGCACCAGCTCACGGAGGTGCGCCTCGAGACAGACAGGCCCGAGCTCGTCTGTCGCTTCTTGCGACTTTGTGATGTGGCCAAGCTCACGTCACTAGAGATCGTGGGTGAAGGCGACCATGAAGACACCCTCGCGCTCGTACCACGCATGCCAGCGCTTCGCCACCTCTCGTTGCGTTGGGGTGAACTCCGGTTGACTCATAACGCTACGTCGCGATGGCCGCACCTCGAGAGCCTCGAGCTCTGTGCAGCTCACTTTGACGACAAGGCATTTGATATCGTGCTCGCATACCTGGAGCGCGTGCAAGGCCTCCAGAAGATCATGTTCAACGTCTGCCATTCGCTTGAAACCCGTTTCCTCGACCTCAGTCGCACGCTCGTTCGCTTGATCAACAACGGCCTCACGCGCGCAAGTTTCCGTCATACGGACCTTGACGACACCAGCGCCGCGCTCCTCGCGCTGACGCTGCGCCAATGTCGCAACGTGTCGCACGTCACGTTTGACCTCGGCGAGAATGACTTTACGATGGACGGCGTTCGCATGCTGCTCGAAGCCCTCGCTACATGTTCGTACGTGTGCGTCCGCCTTGCGCTGCCAGAGACATACCACGAAGACGAAGTTCGACGATTCCTTGCAACCCACGAAATGGTGTGCGCCGTCAATGACATTGCGGTTTGGACGCTCTATAGTCCTAGTATGCATGCGACATGAATTATAACCCGTCAATTGATCGTTGAGTATCGATGGGTCCCGCCCGACTTGAGTGCGCTGGTGGGAACAGTACACCAATTTGGTGTCGTGAACGACAATGCAAAGTCATGATGCAAAGTTGTGTGTATCATCATTTCGAGTATCATTCGACGAGAGTCCAGCCGGACTATAGAGCGCACACCGCTCCGAGTCGAGACAACACGCCATGCGATGCGTGGTCACGAAAGCTTGGACTTCGTCCTGGTGCCGTTGGTCCAACGCATGCAGCGTCACGCTTTGCGATGGCTTCTTGCAGCAGACACTCTTGGTGGTCGCGGATACCGAGAGACCAGAGCGAAGACGTGATCGCACGATACCCTCCGCATCTTCTATCGCGGTGCAGCTGCGAGCGTGGCCGCTGCCGGCTCAGGATGTGCGGAAGGTCAACGATGGTCCTGCCAAGCACACTCGGCGATTTGGCCAAATGTCGGGAACCTGCGCGTAACTTTCATGGCAATCACATCCAACATGAGCAACGACCACCTCCAGCATACGCTTACAGTCTCACGCGATACCATGAACCCAACCAATTCGCCACGTCAAACGTTGGAATCCTGCCGCCAGCTCCGTCCGCCACGTATGGATTGCGTCCAACGTGCCAGTGTTTGATTGGCCGAAAAGCTTTTCATTTCAACCACTTACAATGATTGAAATGGACCCGTTATTCTTGCAAATTCGGTATCCCAGCATGGCAGGCAAGCGCGCCTGCCCCGAGGCCGCGACCGTGCTGAGCCTCCCGCACGTGCTGACCTCGATCGCCCAGTGCCTCCAGTCGCCGCGCGATGCTCTCGCCTTCCTCTCAGCGCTGCCATTGACGTCGCTGGACGCGCCACTGGCGGCGACCAAGGAGCTCCTGACGCGACCAGGCCCGTTCATCCACACGTGGCCTCACCTCGGCCTCGACGAACTCCATGACGAAAACGGCAGCGCTCGCTCTCGAGGCGCTACCGGCTCTAGTCTCTTTGCATGAGCCAGAGACCGAGCGCACG